CATTCATCGATTTTCATATCACAGCAACACAACTAAACATTTTTTTTATCTAGAGTTGAGACACTTATATCCTCTAGTATTTTGACCTGTTGACCTGTTTGACCTGAAGGTGATTTCATGATGAAATTAAGGAAAAACCCTTTAGGCGGAAAAAATCTATACTCTGTACGCTTTGCTCAAAAGAGACGAAATTGATTCGTTAGATTCAGTTCAGCTCTTTCGGTTATCGAGTTATTTGCAGTTTTTGGAAAGCATATTTTCGCGATGTTCTGGAAAACAATGAAAGCTGGAAAGTTGCAAAAAACACCGTTGGATAGTAGGTGCTCGATGAGAACGAGATTTTTCGATAATAAAGTTGGTGTTCCAGTAAAAAAATGAAAGACAAAATTTCTAAAAATTCGCGAGAATTTCACCCAGCTAAATTTTTGGCCAAAAATTTTTTAACTTTTTTTCGAACTATTTCTTGACCGGTAATTAAATATAGAAAAGTTACATGACTAATCGACATAGGCTGGTTCATAGAAAAATTCCTATGTGCGCTACAGGAGGAAGACGAAAAAGTTTGTACAGGCCCTTATGGAGGGGATATTTTCAAATTTTAATATAAGTATCAAATGCCATTAGAATTGATTGAAATTGATACCATTGATCAGTTTTGAAACAAATTCGAATCAATTCCATGTCAAATTGATTCGGTTACGTGGAAGAAAAAACTTCATTTAACTCCAAGTAATCGTGAAATTTTGGTACCGATCAACCGAAATGCGGAAAATGATGATCAATGTATTCTAGATAGACCAAAACATAGCTAATATATTTGGTTAATTATTTGCGAATGCTTCCTTATGGGATGAGGAAGCCATAATAACCAATGAATCGAAAAATTGTTCGAGAATTTTCGACTTGTTCAGGGTTTTATGTCAACAGAAATTTTGAAAAATTTAAAGAATGATGTGATTGGGCTGGTGATGACATAGGTCGATGGAGGGATTACGAGGCTTTAAAATTCAATGACATCGATTGCAAAAGTATGAGAGGTTGACCTTCAAAATTCGAGTTAAAGTTGAAAACCGATCCTTCATAAACCGTTAAGAAGTCTGGAAAACTGAAAAAATATATATTAAAAATAGTAATATAATTTATGCAAATATGAAGATTCTCTTGAATACACTGTACCAGTTTTCATTTTCATAGACTTCAAAAATTTTGGTCTCATGTGATTTAATAGCAGAGAAAAGTGTACAAAAATACAACTGTCTTTAAAAAGGAGCCATAAAACAATACAGTATAACTTCTGCTGACAACAACAGTTGTTTTTCGTGTTATTAACCAGATAGAAGAATTTCAACATGTAGGTACATAAATGCAGTATTATTTAGAGCAGTTTAAATTACCAAACTGCCATAATTTCAAACGTTCACTT